TCGATCGTATGATGCACTCCAATATCCAGTGCTGTTTCCCCATGGAGAAGAAGGATATCATTTCAACATCAGGCAAGTCGCCCCAGCACAAGTGAAGCGACGACAAAGAAAGTGTCCTGCATGGATTATTATGCAAACCGCATTGATTCGTGGAAATGAATCCAATCATATCTTAAAATGTCGTGAATTATTCCAACAGTTTATTGTGGACATGTACGCGAAAGTCGAAAGTGAACGTCTTCTTTTCATTCGCTTAAATCAAAAGAAGCTGCGCGTTGAAGAATACGTTCATTTACGTGATGCAGTTGCTAATGATGGAAACATTGGACAAATGGTAATTTTACCTGTAACATATACAGGAAGCCCGCGGCACATGCACGAATACGGGCAAGATGCTATGACGTACGTTCGAAAGTATGGACGATCAGACCTATTCATCACCTTCACTTGCAATCCATCGTGGAGTGAAATAACCGAATTGCTTTTTGCAGGCCAGAGCTCATCGCACAGACATGATCTTCTGGCTCGAATATTCAAGCAAAAGCTAATAAGTCTTATGAATGTCATCACGAAGAATTTTGTTTTTGGAGATACCAGATGCTGGATGTACTCAATTGAATGGCAAAAGAGAGGCTTACCACACGCTCACATTTTGATTTGGTTGAAGCAAAAAATTATACCTACACAAATTGATAGCGTTATATCAGCCGAGCTTCCAAATCAAGCCGAAGATCCCATTCTTTTTGAAATAATCAAGAAAAATATGATTCATGGGCCATGCGGTACTTTTAATCCTAATTCACCATGTATGCAAAACGGCAAATGCACAAAGCGATATCCACGTGAGTTGATTACTGAAACTCAAACTGGAGGTGATGGATATCCTCTGTATAGGCGAAGAAATCCCACTAATGGTGGATACACAACTACTATTAAGATGCGAAGTGTAGATATCGACATAGACAATAGATGGATCGTGCCATACTCGCCACTACTTTCAAAAATGTTTAATGCTCACATTAATGTTGAGTATTTTAATTCGGTAAAGTCCATAAAATATATTTGTAAATATGTTAACAAGGGCAGTGACATGGCAGTATTCGGATTAGCAAATCGAGGTGATGAGATCACGCAATATCAAACAGGGCGCTACATCAGCAGTAACGAAGCAGTATGGCGGATATTTGCATTCAATATTCACGAACGATATCCAACGGTTCAACATCTCGCTGTTCATTTGGAAAATGGTCTGCGGGTTTACTTCACCGAAGAAAATGCGCAAAATAGAGCAGAGCAACCACAAAACACAACACTGACTGCTTTTTTCGAATTGTGTACATCCGAAAATTTTGCTAAAACGTTGCTGTATCAAGATGTACCCAAATATTATACTTGGAACACATCGACAAAAAAGTTCAACAGAAGAAAAAGAGGTGCAATTGTTCCAGAGCATCCCGGTATATATTCGTCCGATGCATTGGGACGTGTGTATACTGTTCATCCAAATAACGCCGAGTGCTATTATTTGCGGTTGTTGCTGCATACAATCAAAGGGCCGACATCATTCCTTGCATTGAAAACCATCGACGGAGTAGAATGCCAAACGTACAGAGGAGCGTGCTTTAAACTGGGCTTACTTGAGAATGATCAGAATGGGAACACAACTCTGACCGAAGCATCACTCACGTGCCATCCAAAGCAAATACGAACTTTGTTTGCGATAATCTTAACAACATGCGCACCATCGAATCCTCGACAACTGTGGGAAATGCATCGTGAAAGCCTCAGTGAACATATTCTAAGACAAGCACGTGCAAGCGATCCAAGACATTTTCAATGAAGCTTTAATGGAGGACTTATGCATGTCAATCAACAACAAAGCCCTTTGTCAACTCGGTATGCCAGCACCGACACGAGATAGAAATGCTGTACAAGACAGAGACTTGATGCGAGAACAGCAGTTTGATGCAAATCAGCTTGAACGATTTGTGCAAACGCAAAAAGAGTTTTTAGTTGCTGATCAGAAAAAAGCTTATGACAAAATCATGCAACGTGTAACCAAAGGAGATGGCGGAATTATCTTCCTAGATGCTCCAGGAGGTACCGGGAAAACTTTCCTCATCAATTTAATATTGGCGTCAGTTCGAATGCGAAATGGGATTGCAGTAGCAGTAGCATCATCGGGGATTGCATCAACACTACTTGATGGAGGACGTACAGCGCATTCAGCACTTAAGCTTCCATTGAATTTGCACCAGACCGAAACACCTACATGCAACATCAGCAAAAACTCTGGTATGGCCATAGTCCTTAAAACGTGCAAAATTATAATTTGGGACGAATGCACCATGGCACATAAGAAATCGCTCGAAGCACTTGACCGAACTCTGCGAGATTTTCGTGGAAAAGACCAACCGATGGGAGGCGCTCTTATACTTCTTGCAGGTGATTTTCGTCAAATATTACCCGTTATACAACGATCAACGCCTGCAGACGAGCTGAACGCGTGCTTAAAGCCATCGCATCTGTGGAACTATGTCGAAAAAATTACGCTCACAACAAATATGCGAGTGCATTTGCTGCAAGATACGTCTGCCCAAATATTTTCAAAGCAACTTTTAGATATCGGAAACGGTAAAGTTCATATTGATCGCACAACAAATGAGATATAATTTCCGTCCAACTTTTGTCAAATGCAGCAGAGCATTCAAGACGTCATCGACAGAGTATTTCCGAACTTAACGATCAACTACCGGAATCCGGAATGGCTCCGCGAACGTGCAATTTTAGCTCCGAAGAACGATGTTGTTAGTAAATTAAACGGTCAAATTCAATTGAAAATTCCAGGAGAAGCAGTCGAATATAAATCGATTGATACAGTAATGGACAAAGATCAAGCTGTTAATTACCCAACTAAATTTCTTAATTCTTTGGAGCCACCTGGAATGCCTCCTCATTCGTTGGCGTTAAAAGTTGGATCACCAGTGGTGCTTATTCGGAACTTGAACGCGCCAAAACTGTGCAACGGAACCAGAGTGATAATAAAAAAATTAACACCGAATTTGATCGAGGCAACAATCAGCGGTAAATTCAAAGGCGAAGATGTGCTGATTCCACGTATACCGATGATTTCCAACGATTTACCGTTCGAATTCAAGCGGCTTCAATTCCCTATGCGTCTTGCCTTTGCTATAACTATAAATAAAGCACAAGGGCAATCATTAACTATTGCGGGTTTGGATTTGAAAAATTCGTGCTTTTCACATGGCCAATTATACGTCGCCTGTTCCCCAGTTGGGACACCACAAAATTTATATATTCACACACCAAATGAAAAAACTAAAAATATTGTTTATCCCTTAGCATTAAGGTAAATAAAAGGGTATTCAATTTCAAATCTCTAAATACATGTGTTTTTCTTTGGCGTAGCAACGCGCGCCGGGTATTGCTAGTATACATATATAAGTGTGACAATAGACATTGCAAATCAATCACGTACATAAACTCCCAGTTAATATTGTAGGAAACACATTTTTATTCTTACGCCTAGTGCTCTTTTCGTTGTGCCTACGTAGCATTTGTTGCAGTTTTCATTGCCATTGCCATTGCATCTAATTTCATAAACTACATTGCTTTGCTGCTCCTTCTCAATCTTATATTTCGTTTTTGTGAATATTTATTAAGCGAATTATGTGGCTTGTGAGCATATGTATATTATTTTGTCATTTCTTATTATTTTTCGTAGTGTTTGGTTGTTTGTTAGTCCTGGTATGGGCGATGCCACCGTCCCGGGTGGTCATTTGTACAGAAAAATTTTCTTTCTTGTTTAAATTTTAGTATAAAGTACTCAACAATTCTACATTTTGATAATGCTACACCTAATTGACTATTATAAGAGTTATTACAAAATACGAAAAAAATTCCAGCTTACTTTTATATGGGAAAAATCTGATTTATTTCTTCTGTCACGGGTGGGATAAAAAAAAGAACCTGATTTTTGGAGCAGGTATATTTTACAAAAACTCTGCGAATTTATTTCACTTTTCTGTGTGAACTTGATGTCTTATAACAAAACAAAGAACCACGAATGCAAACAAAGCAAAAACTACAACAAAAATGATGGCTTTATTATTAAAAAAATCCGAAATTCCTCTGTCACGGGTGGGACAACGTTTGTCACTCGAAGGGCACGTACAAATTTTTATTTGAAAAGGAGATTTTAGTGTGGTCCATATATAAAGATTAGTTATTAAAAAATATAAGAAACCAAGTAGGGGTTAAGTTCACTCACGTTTTATCTTAAGATGGTGCCTTTTAAATAGAAGAAAATGCGGTGCACCGTCAGCCAAAAAAACTATTAAAAATGAACGCGATTTCCTAGCGTCTGGAAATTTTCACTTTCAACTACTTAAATTTAATGGACTACAAAACTGCATATCTTAAAATTCTAAACAAAAAGTTTAAAATTTTTGGGTGTAATTGTTAAAGTTTGTTGAATTTTTATAATTTTTGTAAGAAGTTTGAAATGTGGATTTATGTGGTTCTGGATAGGTAATGTGCTAGACATTTATAAAAAAAAACTATAAACATTAGGTTAACAAAATAAAAAACCAAAACTGGTCAAAATGTAACTTAACTTAATCAGCTGACCACAAGGGTATATAGATAATTGACGAGTCCGCGCATCCCCCCTTTTCCCCTGCGTCCACCTGAACAAACAAATGCAGATTACCAGCCCTGTAAACCTACCGCTGACAACTGTCCCATACATAGCTGTCACAGGTGGGACATGCTTCTCTGTTGAACTATTCTTATCTAATAACGTGGAAACGACAATGCAATTGTGGTAAATATTTGCAATGAACAAATCTAACATTATGTAACAAACACAAAACACAACCTAAACTTCTGTAATTAAATATAACAATTTTTACCTTTTTTTGTCACGGGTGGGACAAGACCAAGACTGCTTAATAATAACTCATAATATAGATTAAGCACTCACAAAATTTAATATATAACACAACTTTATTAACAGCAGATAAGTTCTACTATATATTTTTCTTACCAAACCCTTGAATTATGAATCCCAAATTATTTGACAGTGCATTCAACACAACCTACTTTAAACTCAATCAAAAAATTTACTTAGAACTTGATTTCAAAACGTAAAAAAGGTAATAAAAATGCATTTAAAGCTTTAATTTCTTATTTTTCGGTTGATTCAAGATTTTTACAAGTGTCTTATCCACACGTTTGTTAGTTTTATAAAGAAAATAATTTTCGCACTGAGGTCCACTTTACCATGGAACCTCCCACATGTAAACCTATTAGGCGAATTAGTTACATACATACACATAACTTTATTCATTTTGCTGATTTATTTTTTTTATTCATTTTCATTTTTAATTCTTTTAATACATGAAAATATCGGTATGATTGATAAAATATGATACTTGTATATACTTGTGAATCAAGGGCGTTATAATATATGGAAAACACCGCATCAATTACTGTTTTTGAGCTTGTAGTTTGAGCATTTCTATTTTTATATATTCCTAATTTATTTTTTTTTAGGAATATGATCTGTGGTTCTGCTTTATCTGTCGCTATGTCTACGTTAAAGACATTAATACATATGACATACCATCTTTTGTTTGCAAAATGGGAAGCTAAATTCATTTGTCTGGCATTTCCTCTTACTCTCGTCTTCTCTTTGTGCAATCTTGTAGTAGCTCTGATCCAGTACTCAATGAACTTGCAGGTTTTTACACGAACTTGCAGGAAGTTACAGGAAAAACGATCCCGTGAGAGTTGTGAAGATAATGAAGTTGCAAGATTTTACCCGATGCTTTTTGTTCCCGCAATTTTCGCTGTTACTCACTGTAGGGTTTGTATTTGTGTTACTGTTTTTTATTGTACTGTGTTAATTTCAACTTTGTAATTTTATATTTAAGTGATTTTTGTAGTTCAAACATCAAAGAGAAAATTTTATTATTCAAACATTTTTTTGCAACTGTTAACAACCGAATTTTATACAATATTAAATATTAAATTGAATTTCTTAAAAATCCTTGATATACTCACTACTACATTTGGCGATCCTGGAGCGGAAATAGCTGTAGTTGGAAGCAAAACAAAAAAAAAGTTTTAACAGTGCCATAAGCTCACGACATTTTCGGTCAGCAACCATTTTCCATGTTGTGAATATAGTTCTACTAAGAAACATTGTAACAGAATTAAATAAATTGGCTATAACACGAAAGGACACAAGAGTTGCGAGGACATGTTTAGTGTGATCGAAATAATGGTTAAGTGTAGTCTATAGCCGAATCAGTTAATAGTTAATCGCTCTCTGCATTGACGGAGAGGCACGACGACAGCACCACAATTGCGGGTACGGAGCCAACTATAACAACAACCACAATAGCAGCAACAGCCGCAGTAGCGGTTTCAACTAAAACGCGTCGCAACAGACAATTAAAACAGAAACAACAAACAAACGGCAGTGAAGGAAGGCTCGTCAGTGGTAGCAAAAGCAGCTCTAATAAACCTCATCAGCTACATCAATAGAAATCAGTACACACATCAGCGTTAACGTCAAGCGTGCACATAGCAAAAATCGCTCCCCAGCAATTGGTCGTGGTTAGCTGCATCCCAAGAATGATAGAATACAAGATTGCGCCGATTGCAGCAGAATTCGTGAGAGTAATTTTAGCGTGACGTCATCGTAGAGTTGACAACTGAGAGCGGCGAGAATGAGGGCGACTAGTGATGTGCTGAATTGTCCCCAATATTCGGTACCCAATACTTAAAAAAGATTTCGGCACCCTATACTTC